TTAGTGTTCCGGGCACCTAAGGCAATAGTTCTCCAACTTCCTGGTCTCAGGATTTTTTTACATTCTTAAAAATTGTTGAGGACCCCAAACAACTTTTGTTTTTGTGGATTATCTCTATTAATATTTACTGCTTTAAAAATTAAAACAGCTTAGTATTATTATTAAATAATCTTGACCTCCTATAACTCCTAAAAGGGTCTCAGGATCCCCAAGGATACCCAGACCACACTTTAAGAACTGCTGCTCCAAGGCTATCAGGTGCAGAGAAGGTGCCAACCACTATTATCAGAGGAAGTGCCACAATAAGTATTCACCATAGACCACCGATATCCCAGGATGCTATCATTCTGCCAAAGCCTCGATAAATTATAAAGTAGGATCCTGGGCAATGACTCTCCTTTCAGATGCTCTCCATCTTCATTAATCTTTAAGTCTCAGCTCTGGTGAAAGTTAACTCTTCCTAGTTGCTTTTCTTTCTCATGTCAGTTTTTCCCCAGAGGAAAATAAAGAGCATAGCATTTACTTATTGAAGCTGGCTTTACATCTCGCTTCAGGGGCATTAAGGATGGTGGATGCAGAGAGAGGAGAATTCATGTGAATCCTGACTCTGCCACTTACTTGCCTTGTGACCTTGAATGGTTTTCTTTGCTTCTCTGAGTTTCAGTTTCCTCCAAGTATAAAATGGGAATAATAACACTTGTATTACCTACCTGACAGAGTTGTTATAGGCATTAAGTGAAGTAAGCTATTTAAAGAACTGTTATATAAATATTAGTATTATTATTATCCAGTTATTTTTTGTTTAGTCATTTTTCAATCATATCCAACTCTTCATGACCCCTTTGAGAGTTTTCTTGACAAAGATACTAGAGTAGTTTGCCATTTTCTTCTCCAGCTCATTTGACAGATGAGGAAACTGAGACAAACAGAGTGAAGTGTCTTTCCCAGGGTCACACAGCTAGTGTTTGAGGCCAGATTTGAACTCAGGAAGATGATTCTTCCTTACTCCAGGCCTGGTGCTCTATCCACTGCTCTCCCTAATTGCCTACTGGCAGTTTATATACTATATACATAAAAACTATAAATGAGTTTACCTTAAATATATAATTTATTTGGATTATATCCTTTGTCATTGGCATGTGAAGGGAAATACATCTGACATCTTGGTATATTGTTTGCTTCCACAATGATTTCATATATAATTTATTAAATCAATATGGGCTGATACAACAGCTGCCTCCTCACCCACTCACCCACCCCACCCCCCCAAAAAAATCTAATGTCGTCCTTGGTAACAATAAGAGACCCAAGTATGTAGAAGATGGAAGATGATAGTCCCACTAAACTCTAACCTGGCCAGGCTGTATCTGTAGTACAGTGTTAGGTTCTGGGCATAAACTAGATGAAATGTGTATAGAAAAGGGTAATCAGGATAGTGAGAGGACTGTAGAACATGCCAGAGAATGATCAGTTGAGAGAACTGGGGATGCTTAACCTGGAAAAGAGGAGATTTGTGGGAGACATGACAGACGTCTTCTAGTTTTTGAAGGGCTGTCATGTGGAAGAAGGATTTGCCTCATTCTTTCTGACCCCAGAGGGCAGAACCAGGAGTAATGGGTAGAAGTTGCAAAGGAGATATTTAGATTTGATGTCAGTTCAAAAGCAGAATGGACTGCCACAGCAGATAATGGAGGTTCCAAACACACAATGGATGATTGCAGTGGATATTACAGGCATGGGTTGGACTAACTGGCCCCCAAGACCCCTCTCCACTCATAGATTCTGTAATTTTACATCATTGTGGACCTCCATGATGATTTAATGGATTCTTCATCTCCTTCAGATCCAGTTAAAATTGAGGAATAAGTCATTGAATATATGTTTATCTCTATGATCACTGTATAATTGTGATCCCTTTTTGTATTGGAAATGGAAACCATTAAGAGCTAAATGTTGAAAACTTAACTCAAGAGATGGACCAGATGATAATACCACCTCCCTAGTAAAGTGTTTGGGTATATCACTTAGCTCACCTGTTCACCTGTATGGAAAGTGAGTGAGTGAAACCTCTGAAAGAATTCCCTTAGAAAGGGGCAGTTAGGTGGCGCAGTGGATAGAGCACCAGCCCTGAAGTCAGGAGGACCTGAGTTCAAATCTGATCTCAGACCAAACACTTGACACTTACTAGCTGTGTGACCCTGGGCAAGTCATTTAACCCCAATTGCCTTAAAAAAAAACAAAAAGAAGTCCCTTAGAAACAAGACTTCTTTATGCCAATTAATCCTGGTTTTTAAAAAAAAAAATTACTCATGTCAAACATACAGAAAGGCAGAACCAAAATGCCTCTCCCCATAGATTCTAATTTTCTCCATAGGCAAAGCAAGGAAGTCTCTGAAATTTGCCTCCTGTCTTCAGATCTCTTCTCTTCTGGAGGGTTTATCCCCTCTTCTTCTTCAGGGAGTCAGTTGTCCTCTGCTTCCTTACCCCTATCAAACATGGAAGCATCTGTTAACCAGGTGATTTCTAATTGTTATGCTTGAACTGAAATTCCTACCCACTCATTTGTGACCCCATCCCAGTCTTTGAATTGTAAGCCTTTTATCACCAATGTAAGGCTTTGTTCCTTATGGAAGGAATCTCTGGCATCAATTAGTCAGCTCTACCACAGGCCTAACTGCTGACAGTTCCCCTCCTCCCCAGGCCCCATCTTTCCTGTTCAAAAACAAGTTGGACCCCATTTCCACCTCCTGGAATCTTTCCCCAGCCTTCGTCCTCTTCTCCCTCTATCCCAAGGCTTTCCAGGATGATATTTTATCTCTTTAGGCACATGTGATAACTTAGGCCATTTAATGATTTTTCTTTCTTTCATTCTATAGCTTTTCCCTTCCCTTATCTGACATTCTATAATGTTCTCCTATATATTCTCTTTTTCTTCTGGTTATGAAGTTTCTGTCAAAAATATCACTGAAAACCATTGCTTCTGCTAATGGAGATATTACTATAACAATAAGTTTTTTTAAGTGCATTAGACAGTTACCGTGTCCCAAAATAAATTAGAACCTTAAGGAAAAAGAACTAAACTTTTGTTCACCCTATTATTGTTTGGCAAAGTTTTCAAGAAAATTTGAGTTTGTAGATTTACTGGGCCTACTTTTACTACTTGCTAAAGATATGTGTCTTCCTGTCAGTCTGATTAATCTGATTGACAAGAATGAGCACTGATAAGTTTTATACTGATAATTATATTTGTAGACTCATCCAAAGATTCCCATTCTGTTTGCCAAGAGTCTTCTGCTGGGCGTTCACATCCTGCATACTTGGAATCTATCTGCAAGGCTGGTTTAAGCTAAAATACAGGGCATATTTGTCAGCAAGTAAAAAGAATAAGAAAAACCAATTTTAATCCTGGAAGGACCATGCTGTAACCCTGGTCAAACCATTTAATTTCTCTGTGTTTTAAATCCTCCATCCATAAATGAAGGGAATAATTACTACTCTTCCCAATATCTCCAATATAATCTGAAGACAGCTAATTTAATAGACTATATGTGATGTTATATGTGACAGAAATCCTATAAAAATTTAAACTGTCACAACAATCCAACCAGATGCTGCCAGTGCCTAACCTACTCTCTTGGCCCTAGGTTGGGCCCTTTTAAAAGCCACAGTCAACTGTTTCCAATCTTTTCAGAGTAGCCGCACTAAACTTTTTTTTTAATCTAATTTTGACTCTGGACCATCCTATCCCTGCCAAGAATCCTGTTTTATTTTTATACAAGTGAATTAAAATAAATTTTGTTGATAGTCCTTGAGATAACCAAGGCTGTCTTGGTTTGTAGTGAAGCCAAAATTGCAAATTACTTTTCTAGATTTCTTATACCAAACTACATAATACCTACAAGTGGCCTAGCAGCAATAGGTAGTTGATGGGACTTCCATAAGAACTCAGCCTAGCCACAAGAAGTCTTGGGGTCAAGAAGCTCAAAGTGCATAAATGATAATGATAATTAAAATGGTCAGAAGATGAGCATAGGAACATGAGAGAGAGCAGGTTAACTAACAACCAGGATATCTTTACTTATAGGACCCTCTTGCTTAAATGGTAACCAAGAGAAAATGTAATAGGGAAACATTCATGGGAGAAACTCCAGTTTAAGGGAGATACTTTCCTATGCCTGTGATTTGGAAATACGGAGGTAGCCAGAATTATGGGTTTTATATACCTTGCTAGGAGCTTCCCACTCTGCCCCCCATATGCTTTCTCTTGTCTTCTCATACTCCAGTATCAGAGGCACCATAACAAGGCCCTGAGGTTAAAATACTAGAACTGGGCTCCACAATTAACATTAGTTATCTCAGAATAGAGGGTAGATCCAAGGACTTCCATGACATATGACCAACTTTTAAGAAAGATGGTTAATTGCTCAATGACAACACAACATTTTGACAATTTTTAGAACTGGATCTCTTGTTTAAAGTGTGGGTTGAAATGAAGATAACTTGCTTTTAGTGATGCCAAATATTAGAAAGTCATTTCCCTCTTTTTTGAGAGAGCATTGATACTGCCCAGTCTAATGTACATGTAAGAAATGCATGAAAGTAGAAAGATTTCGCCAACAAATTGTCAGATTTGATGACTCATGTGGAAAACTAGAAAGAGAATTAATGAGAGGATCAGAATAGGCCAGGGGCAATACAGAACTCCCAGCTCCCTTCAGGAACATTGTGGAGAGTATGTCCTCAATACTGTCGCCCTTTTGGCAAAGAAGCATGGTAGAGGGATGGGGTGGGGGTTAGGGGGCAGTATAGCTGTATGGGATTTCAAGGTAAAGAGACCCTTGGATTGTTTTTCTCTGAACCTGTTCTTATCTATAGTATAGAAGTTTCTCTAAGAATCTCTGCTGATTACTTACAGCATAAGAATGTAATGTTTTAACGCGGGAAAATGTTTGACCTTTGGTACAGCTTCTTATCCAATTTCTCTTTTGTTGTCATGACAGACGAACCAAACTCCTGGGGTTCTCCCTCTGCCACCTCCACAGGTCTGCCGGAAGTAGTGGCTTCCCTTGAAGACATAATCTCACCATTATCTTCATCGCATCTAGCCCCACCCTCTGACCCTTCCCACCAGATAAGCCCAGACCCAACATGGGATATCAAAAGGGAACACGATGTTAGAAAACCAAAGGAGCTTCCAGCTAACGGCCAGAAGAAGAAAAGATTAGGGGAGCAAAGAGAAAGATCAGCTAGTCCTAAGAAGGTTGATAGGTCAAAGCATGAAGAGACATCCAACAAAGGATTGTCTGAGTGCAAATCCAAGAAAACCGAGGGTGGCAGGCCCCCCTTGGAGAGTAAAGTGATTGGACAGATCACTGTCACTGAAGTGGGAGCAGGGGAGACGATGTACGCTGGAACCAATGATGAACAACGTGGGAGGTCCAAGGCCACTGATACAAACAGAGGTGGATCTCTCGGGAGGAAAGAGGATCTCAGAGCTTTGGGTCCAACAGAAAAGAAGGCCGCAGCAGCTCCTGATCACAGCCAGCTCGAATCACTCGGTGCTACAAAGGCATATGGTAGCAATAGCTGCAGCCCGTACGCAAGTGATGTGGACCACAGCCGGCGAGAGCCTGACGGGAAACACGGCGAGTTCCCAAGGAAGGGACACTTCCATTCTAGTAGTGCTCGCAATGCCACCACCACAACTCGGAAGGCAACTGTCTCACCAGGACCTTGGAAAATCCCTGGTTCTGACAAGTTACCTAGTGTACTGAAATCTGACACTTCAGCCATGAGCAGATAAGCAATGCAGCTGTTGCCCTCCATTTCACATCAACACAGAACATTCTTCTTAGGTTCTGTCTCACAATGTTTTAATTTATTTTCACTGTCACACATATATCCATGAGACATCAAGGCCTGGAAGCATCATCACGGAACCATATTCCATGAGGATATGCAGAGCATCCAATAAATCTGAGCAGTATGTAGTCAACGTGGAGATTAAAAACTGATCCTAAAGTCCTCCATTCCATTTTAGGGACTTGGGCAGCTATGGAAGAACCAAAATATCCTGAAGTACAATTGAAGAAAGACAGTGCAGTGTAGCTTTAGTATTTTTTCCCCTGCTGCATGAAGGATTTGGGTGTCATTACAAACTTTATACCAAGAAACTGGACAAGCAATCACAAACTGGAATATCGCCTTAAAAATCAAACTGCACGGAGCAAGCTGAAACTAAGAAAAAGATTATATCTTTTAACTGAGCTAAAGTGTTGTAAATAAATTGTTCTCAATGTATCTAGACAGGGGTTAAAGGGTTTCTTTGAAACATTCAGAACTGTGCACCCATGACATATTTCCATGGCACACACTTTGGGACAGTCCACACCTGATACTAGCAGCCTCATTCACTGCGGGCTTCAGGATGACTAGGAAATTGAGTAAATTCATTGGTGTGATGCCATTTTTACTGCCATTTTGTGAACAAATCCTATTTCTGTACATTTAGGGGAAGGGGAACAGAAGGGAAACCAAGTCATGTTTCAGAAAATTATGTCCTGGAAAACAATTTGCCACAAGTTAGAATTTGGTGACTTAGCTCACAGATTAGAACTGGTGTAAATTTTTACACCCACAGGACAGAATCTAATGATTATCAAGAGAAGCTGCAGTTCCTTACAAAAAAAAGGCTTTCCTATCCTCTCTTAGTAGCAGAGGCAGATACCTTTCTTACTAGCGGTGCTATAGTTCACTCTTTTTTATTACCATCTTTCTGTTTCTTCTAATTTACTTTGAAAGAGCAGATGTTCTCGAAATAGTCCAGCTTACATTATTGGGGTTTTAATGCCTTCCAAGTATAAAAGCCATCGTTATGACCAATTTGTTTTCACTAAAAGACACTTTATCGTTCCTTTCTGCCTCTAAGCTTTCTTTTTCTCCTTCTTTTGTTTCTCTTGATCTACTTTTGTCTCAAACTCTTAGTCAAGTCTACATTTTTTTTCATGCATGTCTAGACCCTTGCATAACTCTTCATGGAAGATTAATTTCCTAGCAAGATTCTTAAGACACCATTTTCTGCCTTGATTTTTTTTGTAATAAAAAAAGTAACCACTGATAAATTTGCCATGGATAATCACTTCATGAATACATGTGTGAGAAGTCAACATGAAGGCTTCTAAAAGCACCAAAAAAGCCCTTTCTTTTTAATGTGCTCTGCTCAAAAGAGACTTCAATCCGTTATGTTATTTCAATAGCATCCTTTCCACTAGTGCCATGCTTTATAGGAGTTCAGATGCAAATAAGCCACACTTCCTTACCATTTACCATCTACAAGTCTGCAGTCAGAGAAGTAATGTAGGGAGATCAGTTTCATCAGGCTGAGTCAAAAGACGGTGGCCTCACCTGATTGATTCTTTGGCATGTGTTCCTCCGTGTGTGTATGTGTCTCTCTGTCTCTCACTATATATTTCTTCCTCTGTGTCCCTCTATCTGTCTGTCTGTCTGATTTTTTTCTCTCTCCCCCTTATCTTTTCCCTCCTCTTTACCTTTCTACTCTCTTTCTTTTCCTCTATCCCTCATTCTTACCCCCGGCTTTTCTCTATTTCTTACTTTCTTTTTTCTCCCTTCCTCTGTCTGAGGCACTGCATTATCTTACCCTACCACAGTTTAATTTTCATCTAACATGGAGTTGAGTTCTTTGATGGAAAGAGATGGTGGTTGAAAGTCTCAAATGAAGGATTTTGCAGCTTTCAAACCAATTTTCAAAAAAAAAAAAAGACAAAGAAACTCCATTCATCATAAACAAAAGCACAAACACATGTAGTGGTTTATACAATTTTGGTTTAATTTCAATTAGTCTTTCTCCCCTGGACTAGAAATCCAATATAGTTTGCCATTAATTTATTGAATCTGGTTTTGGACAATGCTTCTGTAGTGTAGCTGCACGTCCCAGTACTGTATCCTCTGACCTTTATTTTCCATGTGTTAAAAGAAATGAAAAACAACCTGAGATTACGCTTGCATAAACTCTGATTTGCACAGTTCACAGCTACTACTTGTGCAGCAATTGCTTTATGCGGCTGTAATCGATAACCTGTGAAGACAGCACATCATCTAAACCCCATTCCAAATAATATTTCTGTGTAGTGTTAGCTGTGAATTTACCCTGTACAGCTGTATCTCTATAAATATAATTCCATGTATTAATAGTCACAGAAAGGCTGTAAGTGAGCAACTATTTTTATGAAACGCACCACTATGGATAAATTAACTTTTACAGAAATCTTGTTTACTGTATGATATTCTAAAACACTGTCAAATAAAATATATATCCAAAATCCTTTTTCCCAACTGTATATGCTGTGTGTTGATTCAGAAATCTTGATTACTAAAATATAAGCCCTCTGAGTTTATGGATATAAAATATGTAATCTCAATGCACCGAACAGAATTCATCTGAGACTTGAACCTAAATGTGGCAACATAAAATCAGGAAATATAGCCTTTTTTTAAAAAAAATCTAAACAAACTGAACAGGGTTTCCATGGCTGACATCATGTGGTAGTGCCTCGAAATTCACTTTATCATTGATCACTTACCAATGTACTTCCCAGTTCTTTTGACCTGGTCTATCTGTTGCCCTATTCCAATATGTTCACATAGAAGCTAACTATAGCATTGCCTCATTTAGCACCAATATAGATGAAAATTAATGGCTCTTGGGCTTTGACAATTTTCATGTGACTACTTTGTTCATGGTCCTATACTATGGTCATTGGAGGGGGAGGAGGAGTCTGGGGTCCAATCCTGGGACATAAATCTGTGGAGCTAAACCCACTCTATCCACATAGATTGGCAATTCATTTGTAATTTACAGTGATAGAGAGTTTCCTTGGACACCAAGAACTTAAGTGACTTGCCAGTCCTTGGTCATGTAGTTTGGACATGTCAGGACCAGGACTTTATACCAGGTCTTCCTGACTGCAAACCTGGTTGCCCTCTATCTACTATATCCTATTGCCTCTTACTTAAAACATAGATATGGCACCAAAAGAGACCTTAGAGATCTTCTACTCAAACCCCCTTATTTTACAGATGGGGAAACTGAGGACAAAAGAAAGGGGAAAGAAAGGATTGGACATATTATGCAAGAATGGAATCCCTCTCCCTGAGCAGTACTGGAACTGAACCCTATTCTTTCCCACAGTATCTTCAGTCATCCTGAGGGGTATCTTAAAATTCTCAAATTTTAATTCATGTGCATTTTAAAATATTCGTAGATATAGGTATATACACATATTGCTAGTATAGAGAACTTTATGGAGAGAGAAAAATGGGGTAAAGGTTTCTCAAATCAAGCAAACATGATAAAATATTGACTTCAAAAAGGTTGAAAATCAGGCCAGCCAGCTCTTCTGAGAAGCTTAACCTTCAGCAGAAGCTCATTCACCTTTCATAGAATGGACAGCATGAGTACCAGAACTCAGAAATGGGCTGAGTAACAGGATGACATTTGTGATTTCAGTGACTTGCAGACATTAGTTCTGACCATGAGGTGGTCAGTCTACTAAGTCCTAAGCTTATCCTGTGTACTTTTGGGCACCAATTAAATATTCTTGCACAGTAAATTGATATTAAATCAGTCTATTCAGGTTTCAGGGATCTTAAGAAAAGCTTAAGGTCATTGGACTCGTGCCTCACACTGCCACCTGGATATGGATACAGATATTCAAAAATGTACCACTACCGTATGTGTTCTTTGACATCCACAAAGTTTCAGATAGTCTTTTTATTTGATGGAACAGCCTTCTGAAAAGTTATTAGCATTCACCCACAAGAGCTTAAGGAAGCTACCACTGAGAACAATGGAATCCATTTATAGAAAAGGTAAAGTCTCTGTCTCTCTCAGTGTGTCTGTGTCTGCCTCTTCACCTATCTCTGTCGGAATCTCTCTGAGAATGAGTTTGTCTCCCATTTCTCAAAATTCCTCTGTGAAGTATAAGGACTCAAACACAAAACCAACTCCTCCTCTTAAATAATTTACTTTCTAAAAGTATTATCTTCCCCCAAAAGATATTCCACCATGAAATTCCAATCTCCTGTTGACTCATAGACCTACATAAAATCCAATTCAAA